AGAGATAGGTAAAAAAAACACTGACCCTCCTCAAAACAATAAAATTTAATTAAGATCTTCTGAATGATACCTATTCGATCATATGGTAACGATCATAACCATGATTATAATAGAATTATAATCATATGATTATAACCGTAGCATAATCATCACTTGTTAAACATAATATAATCATCACATGATGATGACGATAACATAATCATCATATAATGATTTACATGATAATGATAACGATTATATAATCTTCATTTAACGGTGATGACCACATATAGATACATAGATAAAATTATATAAAGTCGACCTACCTCAAAATAATAACCTTCACTTAAGATCTTTTGGAAGAGGATCATATGATAATGTCAGTAATGATAACTATAATAAAATCACCATACGATGATATGATAATGATCATTATATAATCATCACATAATGATTCTCGTTATATAATTAATACATAATGATTCTCTTCACGATTAATTAAAACGATTCACTTCAAAATTATGAAAGGTAGTTAAGATCTTTGAAAATAAATCAATACGATTATATAAATATGTCTATAATGATAATCAGAATAGAAACACAATATGATAATGATCATATTACAATCATCATATAACAATTCATCAACACGACTATGTGATTATCGTATAGTTATGATGATCACAATATATACATCAATTGATGGTGATGTACGCATATGGGTATATAAATGAAATGGAAGAACTTACAACTTCCTCAAAATAATTATTTAGGAAGTACTAAAAAAATCGTTCAGATCATATGATAGTGACAGTAACGATGATCATAATAAACCCATCTTTTATAATGACGATAATAAAGTAATCATCATATGATGTTGTTTAATGCAGTACGGCATCTGACGAGGGAAGACATCGACCCTACTTATTAAGCTTCAGCATTTTAGATTCTACAGCATATTCTCAATTATTCAAAACAAATGGTTAAGTACTTTAAAGCAACCTAGACGCATTAAAAAACGTTAACTCTTTGCCTAAAATATAACCTACAATTTATCTAGAGAAACCTGAGCAGGAATCTACCACTATACCTTTTTATGGCTATTATTTAGATATTGAAGATCACTCATCTCTGAATGCAAAAGTCATCTCTGAGGATCAGAGATATCTTCTTTGTACATCTTTCTCATCTTAAGTTATTCCTTATATTATACATATATATACATATTATATATTACAAGTTAAATGGAAATCAGAAAACACTTATTAGAACCAAATCCGTGTCTTAACTTAGAAATAGACAGCAGTATTAAAGTGAGAACTGCAATCCTAATGAATAGTTAAATTATTATATTGATTATGATAAATGAATAGTTAAAGATCTTTATAATATATCTAAAATCTAAATCTAAGAGTTTTTATTTTTAAAATACTTATGTTGCTTCAAATTAATTACTTATATTATATATTATTATTATATATTGCTATCATAATTTTTTTTATTATTAGTTATCACTATTATATAGACGTATAGTATATATACATTGGTAAGTTTCTTAAGGAATTTAAGATGTTAAAATATCAATAATTTTTACAAAATAAACTAAAGATGTCACATTTTATATTATTTTTTTTCAAAATTGTTGAATAAATAATTCGTATATAAAATATTTACAAACAAACAAATATCTAAATGTTATATATATAATATACATATATTTTATTAAATATACAAATACAATATATGTATATGTTCAACATATATAACATATTTACACTATTTATTTTTTATATGCATTCAAATATTTGTCTTATTTAATCTATTATAACTAATTTTATATTTATTTTCTATATGAAAAAATTAATAATTTTTTTTAATTACTCAAAATGACTATAACTATTTTTATGTACAAATGCTACCCCATTCAATCCAAAAACTAGGAAATCTACGTTTTATAATCGTACAAATTAAAACTTCTAAGTTGATTTACACTTCAACCATTAAAAGATAGGAAAATGTTCAATAAAAAAAGGAAAACATTCTTGTGATATCACAACAAAACCTGGTAATATTACTCACTTGATTCAGCTGGTGATGGTGGATTCAGAGTATCGGGGCTTATACAATCCGACGGTGAGGGTGAACGTTCACGTTTTGTGGTTATATGTCCAAGACCAAGTGACAGCCCAGCTGCATGGCCGAGTGAGTCTGAACGATGGCCCAAACCACTTGAGTGTCCCAAGTGAGTGCCCGGTAAACCATCAGGTATATTATTTTCCGAAAGAAATTCATCTAAGTCTGCATACTGTAAAAAATTATATAATATATAAATTAATATAAACATGCAAAGCAAATTATTTTATTAGAAAAAAAAATTTTTTTAAATTAATATAAATAAAAATAAAAATAAATAAATGAAACACAAAACACCAGCATTCATGTAAATGAGTGTACATATATCGAAATTTTTGAAACATATTTACATAGATGAAAAGATGAACAAATTCGTCACTAAAACGTTATATTGAGAGACGTGGCTTTGAATTATTTTGGAATTACTGTTTTTATTTTATTCATCAATCTTGGATGGGTGAAAGGCTTGTAATAACCCAATAAATGATTTTTATTCTAATATGTAAGCAACGAGATCTGAACTTCTATCTCCTAAGACATCATTCAACTGGATTAGATCTGGAACATTGATAGAAAATATATTAAACGATTTATTAATCGTTTTGCTAAATCGAGCAATGGAATCCCATACTAAGCATTGTCATGGAATCTAAATGACCTGGTCAACCGCAATTAACTTGGAGAAGAGTGATTAAATTTTCAAATCATTTAAAAAGCTTACTTCAATTACATGGTGGAATGGAAAATTAATATAGAAAGCTTGAACTCCTTATAATTGATCTAACAGAATACAGACATTAATATTAGTACACAATTTTATTATAATCATATTATCATTATTATCAAGTTATATTTATTATACTGTTTAATCTCTTGGATTTTAATATTAAATTTGTTCAAGAAAAACAAAACAATCCAAACCGGTTACAGAGTACGCATAGGAAGATCTCCTTAGATGTGCTGAATTGGATTAATTTCGATTCCACATTATTCTGAAACTGGGGTGTAAAAATCTGGCATGCAAACAAGATAGCAGTTGGGTGAATGTAAAATAGAATTCCGTTGATGTCACTTAAAAGGCAAGGAAATCATCATTGTTGATATTCTGGATATAGAGAGAAATTCAAGATAATATTTTTCGTAAGATCTTTGGTCCTATACGAATTGCCGACGACTACTGCACCTGTATTTAAAACGAACTTTATGAGCATTATCAAGACAGGACCAAAATTTAGGAAATTAATATGAAGAGAATGGAGAAGATGATCCAGCCAAGAAAGCATGTGAAACGGATGTTGAAGGAAAAAGGCGTTGGGGTAGATCGTTATCCCTCTGAAGTGATCAAGTTGAAGGAGCACTAACCAGACTTAATGTACGAGACTTGAAAGAACTTGCAAAGCCATCGCAAAAATAGTAAAAAATTTAGCCCTAAGTCAACAAAACCAAAAAGTCGAAAAGTTAATCTGGTGAATGTCAAAAATCGTGAGTGCATATTTATTTCAAATACCTTTAAACACAGATTAACCAGTTTTTTCTTAACTGAACACACTCTTGTTAACTACAAAATATGGGATTATGGAATACAGTAAGCCTTTGAGATTTTTGCCTTAAACATGACGTGTGTGTTGAGGCAGAAGTGATACCTATAATTTATTTAAAATACCATACGAAGTAAAATTTTTCTCCAGCTTATCTACTAGTACTCTACTATTGTCAGAAAATAATTATAAGAACTTTTATTGAACCATATGAGATGTGAAGATAAAAGAGATATTTTAAGGTTTATCAATCGATTTAGTCCATGTTTGATCGTGAGGCTTTTTTTGGGCATAATAGAGTTGGAATAATATATGCTAACATATTTGCTAATAATAATAAGATAATAGTAAACTATGTCTTCAAAAGTTATGCCAACTAGGATGTCGATAGTATGGAATTCAACTCGTGTAGAATTTTAGCTAGAGCCATAGGGAATATTTCAAATTTTAGCTTTAAACATGTTAGGTTGGCTATGCTAACATTTAGCGTGATGTTTATAACTTATTTATTCACTAAAAATAGCTTATTTCGTTTTTAGTACTAAAAAAGCCACATTACAGCACTGGGACTATAGCCTTCAGAGTGCCTAAACATCTTCATGTTTTCATCTTCAAGCTTAGTGGCGCGTTATCTTACGTAGGAACTTTTGCGCCACACTAGCGTAATGTATATTCAATCCCTGCGTAAACTATTGTTTAACTAAACATCGGCAAAGTAAAAAGTTTTTATATAATGCAGACCTACCTAAGTACTATTTTATAAGAGCGAACTTAAATGTCTTGAGTTGCAAATATATTACAAATATATTTAATTTTTTTTTTTTTGGTAATAATGATATTGTATTCATGCTAATGTAAATAATATATTTTTTTTCAATGTAACATTTTAAGCATTTTTAAATAAATTAACTTTTGAAAAACCAAAAAAAATATGCTAAACAAGAACAAAAATCTTGAAAACTCGCACTAAAAGCTTTTCATTCTTCAAAGCCATGAAAACTGTTGGAAAATTTATTGAAAAATTTCCATGTACGATACAAATTTTAGTAAGTTTTTCTCTGAGTGAGTTTGAGTGAAAATGCATACGGTGTTCATGTGTCAACTGTCAACTGATAAATGTAAAAGTATTAAATTAAATTTCAAAAAAGGTTAATTGTTTTATGAATTGCGCCACTACAATCAGCGAATGATACTAACTTGTGTTACCTTAAGATCTGCATCATACGGTAAGGTTTTCTCCCATAAATTTGGGCCGAGGAATGCTGTTTGAGCCTCAACATTCCAGAGATCGCCCTCTTCTTTATATTTATCATCGCCGCATATTACCTCTTTGTTATTTGAGGATTTACCTGCAAAAAAGATATAATAATAAAATATTAATTTTAATTCTATTAAATTTTATTTAATTTTTTATGACAAATAAGAAATGCATTCAAGTGCGTGTTTAATGGTTAATCAATAATAATTAAATACTTGAAGAATTTTATGCAAGAGACACGTTGGCCACGTTTTTTGTGGACTTACAGTCGACTCTATATATAGTATAGTCGACTCTATATATTATTTTAGGCTCTGCAGTAGAATTTTTTATCTGCAACTGTCATTTGCGTTGTTAGAACATTTTTATTGTTTTATTTGTTCATAAATAAATTTTTTTTTTATTTTTACAGTGTATTTATTTTTAGTTGTTAGTTTACAAATAGCTGGCGCCTACGATAATTGCCTGCAACTGATAAGTGCAATCGGCTTGGAATGCAAAAAATTGCAAAAATCTCTAGTAAATTTCCATTTTTTTTTAAATTAAAAATAATAATAAAATTAATAGAAAAGTTTTTATTGTTTTCACAATTCACTATTTGATATGAATTATTTTTAAATAAATGATCATTTTAATTGGAAATGCACTTCAAATATTTTAAGTTGGAGATTCTATTAAACTTGAAGGGAGCAAGATTATAGTTAATAGATTTTTATTTACTCAAAACTTAATTGTTGTATTTGAAGAATATATATAATATAGTTTTAATTTTTTTTAAAAGAAAACATTGGGTAAGGTCAAAAACATCGACTATATAAAACAATTTGTTTAATAGGAAAAAAGGTTTTTATTTGTCGCAGTAGTAGTTTTGTGGTTTCAGCTGAAAATTACTTAGAATTAAATTAGCCATCATCGCAATTGACTTAAAGTTCACAAATTCATTTTTAAATAAAAATAAAAATAATTATTTAGAGTTAAACGTGACTGAAATTTACTTTTGAATATAAAAAGTGGTAAATAGTAAAGAAAATAAATAAAACAAGCCAAGTACAGCGTTGGGTCAAGGGTCTAAAGTGCGATTTTGCGCTTCAAATTTGGTAGGATAGAAATTCAAACCTTAGTACTTGCACTTTATAAATTATATATAATTAATTTAAAAAATATTTCCAAAAAATAGTGAAGATGAGTAATTAGTAACATATGAAACAGCTCCTATCTTTAAATAAAACTACAATTAAATAAATAAAATGTTGTTGTTGTGAGTCATCTATCTATATACAAAAATTTTAGTATTTTATAAATAAGATTGAAATAAATTTAATTTTTTTTTTAATTTAACTTTAAAATCTGTTTAAAGTGCTTACTTCATGAAAACTTACTTCTTGAGATTTTCTAAGACTAGAATATTTTAGTTTTATATATCACTGGTGTTAATAATGACTATTTGCTAGTTTTATATATAAAAATATATCACACATATTAAAAATTATTATTTCATAAAAATCATATATATTTTTAGTTGAAATTTAAATATAGTTTAAAGTTTATATTTCAAGTTTGATATAAAAAACTAGAGAAGTGATATTAAAAATATAATATTTGACATTTTTAAATTGATAATACCATAATTGAATCCTTTACGCGTTAACCGTTTATTCATTATAAGAAGAACTACATTGTATAAGCAAAGCTCTAACTGTAAGCGGAAATAGAACTCGGATAGGACTTTAGGACTTTCAATGAGAGGTTCTAAAATACAGATCTTATCTCTTACTTGTAAACACCATTATTGTAGTTTGCTCATCGCACGCCAAACACTATCCTACTTTCAGGTCGCCAATATATACCCTATCCATATCTCTAGCCATAGTAATTGAATTTTTTTTTTGTTGCTATTTGAATATAAACGAACAAATGTCAAACGAAACTTTGACATTTGTAATGTAATAAACTAGAGAAAGTTATAATGTTAATAAAAATGATGTTACTTGTTTTAAAACCTTTTTAAATATCGTTAAAATTTAAACATTTTTAGCAAACAAAATATCACCAAAGATCTTGACACCAATAAAGTTTTTAATTAAAGCAATATAAAACGAAAAATCATCTTTTATATAAATATAATTAAATATGAAGAAATGGAAAATGTATATTTCCTCTTGAGTGTGATATTTATTCATCTAAACCCAGGATGGAACTGAAGCTATAGTTTTATAAAAAACTTTTTGATTACATGCCACTCTTAGTTAGTCTTCCATTGAATCGGGAATTGTAATAATTTTTTGTTTCCTATTATTTGCGTTTCTTAATCGCTTTCACTCCCAATATTACTTCTACAAAAATTTAAAACTTGTAATTACTAACACTTCGAATCTTAAGACCTAACAATAATAAAACAAAAACAATAGCAGTCAAGATAAGTTACAAAAAAAAAATTTAGAAATAATTTTTTATGAAAAACCTCCCATAAAACATTATTAATATATAAATATAAAAATTAGTTCCATAAAAACAATTTAAAGTAAAGGTCAAGTTTAGAATCTTCTAAGTAAATGTAAGTATTAACACGTTCTTTAGTATATAATAGTTACTATAATGTATTACAGTACCTGTTAGTAAATTATTTCTACCAGAAAACACATTTTTCCAAACGAATACTAAATACAAATATATATAAATCTCTCCGATTTTTTTGCAAATCATTTTTATAATATATTATAGTAGCACTATATTTATTTTATTAACTAAAATGTATTATAAATATATTAATATATATATTTTATTATATTAAATAAAATATATTTTTATATTTAATATAATATATTTATTATATTAATTATATTTAATTTATATTTTATTTTAATATTTGTCATCACATCTATCATTACTTTTGATAGCAAAATTTAGTAGTAGAAGAGCAAACCAAGTGTATAAAATAATAAACCAAATGAGAATTATAAAAATAATTCGTATTTAGATAAAAACTATAGAGTAACAATAAATACGTAAAATAAATTTTTTGTTTTTTTATTATAAAAATTTTACAGATGATAAATTTACAAGTGAATAGGAAAGTTTATGCAAAAATCCTAAAGCAAAGAAATTCATACAAGCAACAAAAGCAAAGTCCAAAAGTCATTTTTTATGATTTCCGCGTTCAAGAAAATTCACACAAAATCAACTAAAATAAGATAAAATGCGCTGAAGGTAAAATTACAAGAGCAGAGTTGTTATTACAACTTGCAGATGCCATTCGCCATACCCGCATGTCAGGCGGGTATGGCCAGCGGACAAAAAAGTAAACAAAAACAAAAACCAAAACAAAAAACAGTACAAGAATGAAAAAAAAAAAAATAACAGTTAATAAAACAATAGGCCAACATAAATTTTGCACTAACAAGATGCACACAACTCAGCCACAGCCACAGCCACAGCACCCAACACCGAACAAACAAAAGCGCCGCTGGCCCCAGAAGTTGGTGAGACCACTTTTGGCAAAGCAAGAAGAAACCACACAAAATTGAGTAAAATTAAATAATAACAAAAACAAAAATAACACAACACATCGACTGCATGAAAGCGTTTCAAAAGCAAACTAAAAACGAAAGTGAAATTTCTGCTTTTGCTTGAAATGTTTTTTTTTTGTTTTGATTTATGTTTTTATTTTTTTTCCCATTTTTCGAAGCTTCACTTGTAACTCTCAACAACACTCAATGCAGTGAGCACATTGAGTTATTGAATTTCACTCATTTTTTGAGTCAAACTTCTGCCGCAACACCAGAGACACACTGAAGTTGTGTCAAAGCACAACCGCGTATTTCGATTATCTCATAAGTGCTTCATTTCCATTTCCACTGCTCGCTCTGTGGCTTACCTTTGTGTCTACCTAACGAGTTTAAGACAAATTTCAAATGTTTTTTGTGTAAATTTTTTGCCATCTTCTTCATTTCTTCTGGTCTGGTCTCTGGTCTCTGGTCTTGTCTAGTCTGGTTACAGTTACCAGTTTTACGTGCCTGTATTTTTTTATAGTCGCTATTCGCTATTTGCTACTCGCTAGTCACTTTAATGTCTGTGAGATTTGTGCAGTGGCTCAGCGTTGTCTATGCGCTAGTGTGTCTACAGTCGTAAAGTTAATGTTTTTTTTTTTGGCTTTGGTTTCTTTTCTTTTCTTGGATCGTATCATTTCCGCTTTCTTACTCACTCTCACTTTCATTTATTGGCGGCTTTGATTACAGCTTCGTGTTGTTGTTTTTGTGCTTTCAGCAAATTGCCAAGAGTTGCGAAATTTTATGCCACCACTTGAGGAACTCGTACATGTACATGTTCGCGGAGTCTTAACTGCTTCCAGTGCTTCAGTGCTTCAGTGCTTGGACGTATGAGATTTCTTGGAGTAAATCGCTTGCCGTGCAATTGAGTAATTTAATCGTTTATTATCGCATAGCATTTCTGAACGTGTTTCCAGATATGAAGTAATAGTTTGCAATTTGGAACTTGCAGTCTTTTTAGGCGAAAGTAATACTTATTTGGAAAAATATGGAACAGTACGGCTTCGGATTTTATAATTAATAATGCAAACAATTATTTGGTATGTCACAGAAATCTCATTTATATTTTATATGGAATATTTCAAAACTCGGTTATTAGAAATTGGATTGCTTATTATTATAGATTTCCATATATGTATGCTATCTCGTATACTTTATTTACACAACAAACAATGTATTACATTGTACCAATAAATATATTTATATGGGAAAAGCATATAAATAATAGAAAAAAAATTGTGTAATATATATAACACATTTAAGAGATATATCATTAGAGAAATATGTTAAATGTAGAAAGAGATTTCGAATAGTTCTTACGCAAAAGTAAAAAAAGGACAAATTGTATACCTTAAGATCTATCTTATTCTTCACATCGGATAATCTGAAAAATGTAGTAAATATTTTTATCTCATTGGCATTTGGGTCAAATGCCAAATGTGTTTTATGTCAAAGAAGACTCATACTAAATGTTTCTTTTATATTTATTTAGAAACTTTATAAGAAAATATAAGCTACAAATAAATTACAAACTAAGAATTATTTTTATTAGCAGAGTTAGTTTAGATTTAAACAGGTCTGTATTGAATTCTACTAAAACTGCCAATGGATCCGTTGCGTTACTCTAAGGGTCATCTTAAGAATGAAGGATTTTATGATACGTTTTATTTAAGATTTTATTTTAAGATTTTCAGTGACTTGGTTTTTTGGGGGGTTTTAGAACATCTGTATTAATTCAAGAGCTACCTGTAATATGGAACGAATATATATTCTTTGAAAGTTTTTTGAACCTTTTTATTATTATTTATTTATTATTATTGGATTTTAATATCTTTGGAAAAAGAATAAACCATAGTGTTTAATGAAAATTTTTTAGATACTCCATATAATTATACATACATTATTTGGGACTCAAAAACTGAAGAAGAGTCATTGAGGCGTAGAAACGACGGCCTCAGTTGATCGATACTATTAAATTTCAAATGATTGGAAATGTCGAAAGTGGAAGTTTTTAACAAGTAATTCAAAAATTATTTGTGGTGCCACAAATGCTTTTGAATTGGAATTTGATTTTTAGATACTTTTTAAAAGAAAAAAAAAATATTTATTAATAAAAGTTTTTTTTATAAAATTTCTAAATGTGAAATTCTTTTAAATATAATATATATAACATGCAAACTAATTTAAGCTTCTAAATTAATTAAAAAGAAAACTTATTTGAATTTAATACCATATGTTAATACAAATGTTATGATAATAAAAGAACCAGGAAAAAATAGTATTATTTATTTAAATAAACAAACTATAAGCAACTGTTTTAAAAAAAGTTTGGATGACTTGAAATAAATTTAAAAAAAAATACAAAAATATTTATATTTTATTTAGAAATTATTTAGAAAAAAATTTAAAAAAACCTTAATAAAAACAACTCGATAAGCAAATATATAAGTTAACAATTGTTCTTGTACAATTCTTGTTTTATTTAATTTTTTTTAATTATATTATTTTTATAATATAAAAAATGTTGGTTTTAGTTAATTAAAAATCATTATTACGTTTTTTCACATCTTTAATGAAGAAGTAATTTTTTCTTTTTTTTAGCTTAAAAAATGAAACTAGGAATCTTCGGAATGTCTAATATTTCATTCAACGTTTAATCACTCAAAAACTGCATGATCTCATTGGCTGTTAACAAAAATAAATAAAATATTTAAATTTCTATTTATAATTAATTATTAATTTTTAGATAAAATCTGCTCTTTAGTTTTAGAAACTAGTCATAGTTATGGGAAACATTGTAACTTCATTGGTGTTTGAAAAAAAAACTATACTATACTATACTAAATTAGTGTATTGGATATAGTTTTTTAATAAAATAAAAAGAGATTAATATTAAATAAATATTTAAATATAAACATTTTTTCATAAAAAAATAACATAGAAGATGAAGCTTTCTTTGTGAAATATTTTTAGCCATTATTTAACCTTAATATTAAAGTTAAAAAAAAAAAACCATAGTTATGCTTATAAAAATTTAACGTCCAATGATAAAGTATATATTTTAAATAGGAAGAGGGTTAATAATGAAGTATTTTAATTAAAAAGAAAAGTTTTTAATTAAGTGAACTATTTGTGAATAATAGTAAAAAATTTTTATTAATTTAGTAAAATATATTATTCTATTTTTTAAAATGTTTTATTGGAAGGTAAGTTCAAGATGTTAGAAATAAATAAAAATATTTCCTATGACGTTTATTTGAGTTAACCAAGATTTATTGTTTTATTTTCACTTATTTTATTTTATTTTTGATTTTTTTTTAATACTAATTCAAATTTTTTGTTTATATTTTTATTTGCTCTTATATGCCTTATATATATATTTTTGATTTTTTTCTGCATTTATTTTCATTTTTATTAATATATAAATAGTTATATTATTAATTAATTTTTATTTTTATTTATATGTTTATTTACATTTACATATATTTATTTATTTATTGTTGATTCTCTTTTTGAATTAATTTTTATTTTTATTTATATATTTATTCCCACTTGCAATTATTTATTTATTTATTATTGTTTCCATGTTCTGCATTAATTTTTATTTTTATTTATATATTTATTTACACTTGCATGTATTTATTTATTTATATTCGATTTATTTATTTTTATTTTTTTCTTGCATTTGTAAACATTATTATTTTTATTTGCATATATTTTTATTTTTAATTATTGATATATGTTTATCTATTTCTGATTTTTCTTTCTACATTAAATTTTTTAATATTTTATTGCCACTTAAATTTATTTATTTAAGAATTTTATAATTCTTTTCTGTTTATATTTTATTTTTATTTACTTTCTTGTCTTTTATTATTATTTGTTATTATAATTATTTTCTTTATACTAAATAATTAAAATATTAAATTTTTTTCAAGTAATTAGTATATTTTAAGTAATCCAAAAAAAAATTAAATTAAAATCATTCATTCGCTTTAGAACTTTTTTGATTAGTTTTTACAAAATGCAAACATATATAACAAAACATACCTTTTATTGTTATAAAATAATATATACTTTATAAAAACAATTAAAAAATATTTGAAGATTAATAAAAAATATAATTAAATTAATAAAATAAAATTCATAAACTATTAAAACAAAAATTATAAGTAAAATGTTTCAGCAAGCAAAGAATTATTAAAATTTTTAAAAACCACAAATGAACAAAAAAAACTCTTAAAAATGGAGAAAAAAACGCATTCATTAAAACTAAGAAAAAAAAAGTCGAAAACCATAAAATTTACCGTTCGTTTTGCAAATGAACCCCAAAAATGGAGATTTCCTGCCTGAAAACAAAAAGTAATAAAATTTTTAAATTAAAATTTCCTTAAAAACATTCAGCAATTTTGTAAAAAAAAATTTTGCGACTCATGAAAGGAATAAGGCGAAATCTTATGAAAACTCATGATGATGGTGACAAAGTATCGAAATGAGATACTTTTTGTATCTTGCGAGCTACGCGTTCTGAAAGAAATGCGTGACAATCGCCGTGCGAGTAACACAGAAACACGTTAAAAAAATATGTCACAGCCGCAAAATAAAAACAAAATTTATACTTCAAATTAAAATTTTAAAAACTTAATCTTTTTTTTTGCCTTTTTTTAGTTAATTTCACACGCAAATTCGAACTTTACCAAAAAACTTAAAGACCAAAAAATCAAAAAAAAAAAAAAAAAAAATACTTTTACTTTTATTTTCACTTTCACTGCACGCAAAAAGCACTTAAGACTTAAAAGATACAAGATAAAAGTGATAATGCCAACGATGTACGAACGCAAAGTAGAAATTGGGAACAGAAAACCAAAAATAATTTGGAGCAAATTTTGGAAAATATTTATTTTTAGCACAAAAGTGATTTGCGAAATTTTACGGTACTTGGGCATGAGTGGAAAAAATTTAAAGATTCCAAAAATCCTTTTACTAAATTCGGAGAATTCGACCATTAAAACGAAGTGAAGTTTTAAAGTTGGTAATGGACGGACGAATTAAGTCAAAAACGATAGCTTAAGTATTTAAAAAAAAACCGAATAGAGTAGAGACTAAAATTTGTTTTGCTGGAGTATTTTAGTTTCACTTACCATATTTTATGTACTAACATCCAAGTCAAAACTAATTTTGAACTAGTTTAGTAGAGGTACAAAATGATTAAAATAAGTAAGTACATAATAACTATTAACTTAAGCTCTTATTTACACTCTACATACGCTTAGCGTATATAATATTTTAAGATGTTTCTAGTACTGGGACAGAAATAGAATAGACTACACACATAATACTAGTTCTTCTTCATCATGATATCTGTGTTTGTCTTATTTATATATTGTCCACCAATCATACTAATTGAACAACTGTCTATATTTTTCTATCTGCCTATCTATATGCATATAATCCTCTGAAGAGTACATGGACATGATAATAATATTAGTATAATATAACTTCCTTATGGTGTACTACATTAAAAGGTTAGAGCAATATGGACTTTAACAGGCTTATGTCTACTTTTGCCCGTAATTTGTAATCTCTTAATACTCAATTGTCATAATCTTAAAGACAGGAAACCGCCTCAGTTATATTCATTTGAAACCTGCGTTCAATTATAAACTATATTTAATACAATTTAACTCCAGTAAAAATCGCCAGTTAATATAGCTAGTTACTTATAGTGCGTTAGGTATAAAAACCTACAAATGTATTTGACAAGTCCTATTCAATGCGGTCTACTGGTGATAGACGGTCTACTATAAAGACTAAGAACCAAAGCTTTCAATATTTTACTTTTTTAAAAATTTAAATAGACAAATAAATAGATAAATAGCCAAATAGATAGATAGGCTAGCAAATACGTTTTAACCAAAAAATGTGTCTGATCTTCTTAAGCGTTTTTTTAGAACTCTTACACTTCCTGAAAACAGCTGACTGTATCTCTCTTGTTTCCCTGCGGAATGTGGGGATAAAATTATTCCACGGTTAGGATTGCCAATCGTAAGAGGCGACTTAAATTCCAGTGGCAGTCTAGCACTTGTGTAATGAAGTGCACATGGTAGCAAGTAAAGTCTGTACTTGCGACTCCTGACAAGAGGATATCTGGTACTACGGGTGTCAGATTGCCCACAGCTTCTGCTGTTCTGACCATATGAGGTCGGATTCGTAGTGGCTGTGGTTAATACCCAAACCTACGCGAGAAGAATGATCAGTAGAAATTGTAGCAGAAATTTTAGATGGGTTTCGCATCTAACCAAGATGGAAGATATGACTTACACAAATTTCTTCATTGGTACCGGCGGAATAATAAATTATTATCCAATGGGGCGTTACTTGATGCTTGGCATTAAGACGTTGTGCTTTTGATCACCGTAGTATTAGGCCTGCAAGGCGATGAATGCTACGTAAAATAAAATAGGAAGCTTGCATCTCTCTTGTAATATATAAACTAACTTTTGTATGAACAAAATCAAACGGAATGTTAGTTTTTTTTGACTCCATGCAGACAAACCAACTTATTATAGTTTATATATTGGTAACTTTTTAATTTTAGATCTCAAGTAAACCCAAAATAAAGAAAACTTTTAATGACTAAACAATAAATTGACTATAAACCAAATAAAATAAAATTTTGGATTTTGCACAAAATTGTCCAAAATCGTCAAAAATCGTCCAAAATCTTTTGGTATTCAGCGATCTGTCATGAAAGTGAATTTGAATAAAACAAAATAATTTCCAAAATAAAAAAAAATAATTTGCATAATTTTTTAGTAACTTTTATTTTCCGCTATTTCGTTAGATTTATTATCTATTTTTTCACTTTTATTTATATATAATTTTTCTCTTTTTATGTTTTAGTGTTGGTTGCAACAATTTCACTTTCCTTAGAAGCATTCAAGCAGAAGCACCAGTTTCTGGTTAAGAGACCCTAAAGCCCAAAAACAAATTCAAATTACAAAAATGTGGGACTACGACAATTTTTTCGTATTGTCCATAGTTGCGTATCTGAGCAGCCAACAACTCATAAAGAAGAAGAAGAGAGTGAAAATGACCAAAAATTATCACAAAAAAAAACAAAAAAATACTAAAAAAGGTCAAAAATTATAATAAAAATGTAATTTAATATTTCTAGTGAATACCTTTTTAAATATTATTTTATATTATTATTATTTTTTTTTTGGAATTAATATACATATAAGCATATGAGTATACTTATAAAGTAATAAAATGTGTCTTTTTTTTGATTTTGTGTTTAAATAAATATAATACACATATTATGTGTATTATTGCTGAAGTGGGATTTTTACTGGACCGTAGCGTTAATACGGAATTAAACTTTCACTTATTTACCTTTTTGTATATAATATTTATATATTTTACGATATTCATTTTTATAAATTATTTACGTTATATTAAATATAAAAAGTGTGTTGTTTAATTACAGTGACGTATTTGGATGTACTTGTATATTTTATTTCCAAATGTAAAGGACTGAAGTGCAGTTAATTATTTTTATTGAGATCATTAATATTTTTATAATTCATTTGCATTTTTTATTATTTTTTTAAATGTTTATATATTTATTTTTTACTATTTTATACATAAACTTAAACAACTAATTATTTTAATTGTTTATGCAAATTTGAGGTACATCTTTGACTTCAAATATACTGGCTATACGAACAGAATATTTTGAAATTACATATCAAAGGTGTTATGGAGAACACTCATTCCAAACCACTTATGGGAACAGAGCAACTGATTATTCATGATTGGTTTTCACTGTCCAACACATTTACTGCATTGGAATATAAACACCAATCAGCGGTAACTCTTGAAGTTGTGGATTAATAAAAACATTACTATGTAGTTTATCGCTTAATTATCTATCTTATGTTCGCCATGTGTACATTAAAGACTATGACTATTTTATGAAAACGATATAATATCTTCCAAGTCGAAAAATCCGATAGTCATTCAGTAGACAACAATCTTTCAAGCAGAGACTTAGACGATAGGTGTGTTAACTACGACCGAAATAAAACTATTAGAAACCATAGTATATGCAGCCATTCTAAGAAGTAGTCAGGATATAATCAAGAGACTTAATTCTCATCAGGCAGCATTATATATGGTGGTGAATAGTTCTAAAAAAATAAGAATCCTTGGCTAAAATAATCACATATAGACCCACTGGGTTTCGAGTCACATTCTATACCTTTGGAAATGTAAATTTTCTCTTACTCACACATATAGATGAGTGCAAAGACAAAAAGTTATATGAAGATAACTCGTGTTAGCCCAAAGGCTATCACAATTTAAATCGCTTGTATGGTCTTTCAAGGAAAATTGATTTAAAGATTATAAGCAATAATCTTTCTGAATAAAAACAAATTACTAATTACTACATAAATTGACTGACTTCGTAAAACAAATACTGGAAGACTGTCCAACGATGAAGTACAGACGACAGAAGAACCCAAATAATTAGATCTCTTAATACTTATTAACAATTTATTAAATTTAATTTGTTAAAATAATAATTTAATTGATTAAAACCTGAAATAAAAGAGGTCTTGAAGTTCCAACTGAGACTTCTACTATAGAACTCGATTGATTAACTAAGGATAACCAGTAATATTGCCACAACTACGACTTCCACTATAAAGCTATTTTTTTATAATCAACGGTAACGAAGATCGCGATTCCAACTGAGATTTGTACTATGAAATTCAGTTTAGTTAACTAGAAATAACATGGAACCAAGTTTGGTTAATTGGTCCACTAAAATAGTAACCTTTCATAGCTGAAGAAAATAACTTTTGAGCGTACTAATTGGTAATTTAATTTAAAAACAATAATTAATTATTTATATTTAAATAAATTATATTTTATTGAAGTATAATTTAACGGAAGATAATATGTAATGTTGTCATAACTAGTGGCTCTATAGGAACAAGCCATTTATTACTAAAAATAAAAGATGTTAATACCTTAAAACTTCTACTATAGAAATAACTCTTTATAAGTAGAGATAATGGGTTTCTATAATGAATTGATACTTTTATTATAGAACTAAGTTTGGTTAACTAGAGCTAACAGATAGAGTTGTTCAAACTGCGACTTCCACAATTGAACTAAGGTTTCTTTACTGAAAATTACAAAGAGTGTTGGTACAACTGAAAGTTCCACTAGGGAAGCAAACTTGACTAACTGTAGTTAATAGATATTGGTATTTAAATATGGAAATTCGTTATGGAAATTTGTTTTATGGTTTGTTGAAATATGAGTATATATCCAAACAACTGACA